AAGATAACTAAAAAATTGTTAGAATATTCTACTTGTGCTTCTCATCCAAAACTTGCATACTAACACAATTTCTCCTAAAGTTTTCTAGAAGAATGATTTTGATCAATGCACTAACTAGATTGAATTAACCTTCAATCTTCACTAGCTCAATATTTTTATCACAAATTACATGTATGATAAAATGATATGTGATGTTGATATGTTTCATTCTATTGTCCAACATTTGATTTGCAACAAGTTGTAATGAATTCTGGCTATCAAAATGAAAATTAGCAACCTCATGTTTCAATTCCATCTCAATGATAAGCTTTACGAGCCAAATAGTTTCCTTTGTTCCTTCAACTATAGCTACATATTTTACTTCCCTTCTACACTGAGTTACATACTTTTCAAAGATAAATATCCAACTAATGCATCCATCACCAAGTGTAAACACATATTCAGTTGTAGATTTAGTATAAGCTAGATCTTGTCTATACTCATCATCAATATAGTATAGTTTAGTTAGTTAGAACTAAAGTAAAGGCTACTCAAGATGAATTTATAGTCACTTTAGCGTACACTAGTCATAGTCGTCACGTCATTTGGTAGATAGAGAGTAAGTGTTTTAGTTGACAATTCCAAATCAACTATACATGTGCTTGTTACGTAAGGATTATATATGTTAGTTAGTGTGTTAGTTGAGAGCGTCATGTCAACAATCTGTTTGCTTGTTAGGGTTATCCGCCACGTCATTCATCCACTAGGAGTGAAATGGATGGTGATGATGAGATATTATCTCATTGTACTGGTTGGTATAAGCTATATAAGCAAAAAAACCCATTGTTGGTATCTCTCATATTCAAAATATATGTTTTCATCTTCAAGTGAGATTCTTTTTGAGCCCTAGTATTACATCAAACAAGACTTTGACATTATCTAATAAACCATCAAAAACATTAAACCATAATCATTGATACTTTTCAAATATTTGATAATACATTTCACTTCTTTCTTGCTTGCTTCTTGGATTTGGCATGTAGATGTTCATGTTGTACATTGCTAAAGCAATATCAAACTTTATGCACACCATGAAATACATAAGGCTATTTACAACTTTGTCATAGAAAAAACATGACATCTTTTTTTTTCAATGAGATCAATTGAACATTGTGTTATAAAAAGTTTAAAATGTGATGAGAAATGAATTCATACTTTTTTAGAATCTGACATGTCGAACTAGTAAAATACAACCTGAATGTATTTGACTTGATTCAATTATAGTATATTCTTCACCAAATTTCTTTGGATGTACATCATTAATATTTTTTTACCGTTATCAAATCCTTCATCTTCAATGCAGAATTCAACTTGTTCTTGCATATATCAATGTTTGATTGGTTCTTTGCCGACATGAGCATGTCATCCACAAAAAGTACTAAAATAATAAGATTGAAAATTTCATTATGCAATTTTTTCATATATACACAAGTATCATACACACTCCATGAAAAATCTTGTACCTTCATGAATTCATCAAACCTTGTATTTCACCGCCTATGAACTAGCTTCAATTCATAGAGTGATTTAAGTAATCTGCAAATCAACTTCTTTTCACCTTATAACTCAAAATTAACTGGTTGTTTTATGTAGATTTGCTCCACTAGAGATACATAAAGAAATGTTGTAACTAAGTTCATATGATTTATAACAAGACTAAATATCGCAGCTTGTGCACATATTGACAAATTGTAACATATTTTGTTACATGTGAAAATCTTTTCTTGTAGTTCACAATTTTCTCCTTTATGAAGCCTCTAGCCACCAACATGGCTTTGAAGATTTTTTCCTGATCATTTTTTGTACTGTATTTTAGCTAGTACATCCAATTACCGTCAATCAAAGTTTGATTCATATGAAAATCAACTAGCTTCCAAGTCTTGTTATCAATCAATGATAACATCTCTCTCTCATCATAGAAGCATTTCGCTCAAACTTATTCAAGTAAGCTTGAGCTTCTCTTCAAAAAGAAGATTCTTCTTCTTCCAATGTCATCAGTTTCCATTGTATCAATGTCACAATCTGCAAGAACGGATGAATCAGCCCATAAACCAAAACCTTTATAAAAATTGCGCGAATTCTACTAATCCAATTTAATGATATCTTAGTAGAATATTTTGGTTGATTTCTATTGTTTGAGTCTACTTGAGTCTCACCAACTATAACTTGTTATTCTAATTTTTATTCCTTATGAATTTGCTCAATGTGTTAGGGAGCTTACCTTTCTATTCCATCATTATCACATAATGATTAATATTCTATAAACAACATGCGTGAGTATAGATCTTTTCTCATCAGTATGAAGATTTTGGAAAATTTTATTACTCTTTCAATGATTTGAGCTCATTGAAAGAATCATCTGGATTGATAATAATTTTACAAATTATTGTATCTTAAAAATTATAAATCTCTACACCACTAGCATATCCAAGAAAATGATAGATCTTTGATGTAATATCCAATTTGGTAAGAGAGTATAAAAAATAATTAAAAAATTCTCACACTACTATAATATACCATCCAATGTGATTCAATTCAAATGGTGACAAAAAATGATATGCATTTAATCTCTATTTTGAAAAATACTACTAATTTTGTCCGCCACGTAGAGAAATAGACTCTGTGGTTGAATTTTGGAATGCATTAAGCGGATACACAAGGTAATGGCTATGGAATAACTATTTCGATCCCAGGGGATTAATGTCAACCAGTACAATTCTCTCGGTTTTTCCAGAAGCATCAGGATATGTTTATTTCCGGTCAGAAGTCGCTTCAGATATTTTGTCGTGCATGGGTTGGGTCAAAGACACCGAGCGCGACTGAATTAAATGAAGCTACGTCTTCTCCCAAGAAGACTCGGGCCGTTGAATTTAGTGAGAAAACACAAGCACCCCTCGAGAACGATCCGAGCAGGCGAGCGCTAGTTTGGCTCGAAGCAGTGCTCCAGCCAGCAAACGACACGGAGGAGGAACCCGAACATGACCTCGACGTAACGTATGCCCGTACACCCCTGACGGCCCCGTACGGAGGCGTAGTGCAGAAAGAAGTTGCCCGAGGCTGTGCCTGCCCGTGCTCTTGCGTGCAATGACGCATGTGCGATTCATCCCAAGAGGGAAGAGCCCTGAGCCCGATGGTGCAAGGGAGCGCTTGTGTGCGTGTTTTTTGTGCCTCAGAAAAGGCTTGTTTTACGACACACGCTCACATGGAGCTCTCTTCGGGAGCAGAAGAAGAAGAAGCAGAAGATCTGAGTCTCATGGAGTCAGAACGTCACAGACAGACGTGACTGTCTCAACAACCTGGAGAATCTGATCAGCTCGAAGGAGGGCGGGGGTTGACTGAGATGCGCTGAAGCATGATGGCAGTGACTTGCTTTCGAGGGAACGAGACGGGAACTCATCCCGTTCAAGGCCTCAAGGCCTCGGGGATTCTGCTGCCGTCGAGGTGGTTGAATCATGTTGACGGTGGTGCGCTGGTGGAGTGGAATTTGTGGTCACTGGGATCTACACTGACGATTGAGTTTTTTCTGGGCTACTGGCGTGGGCCAAACTAGATGTCTGCTGTAATGCTGACTCTGGTCTGGACTTCCAGAGCTTGCCAATTGATGTATAGCTGATCAAGGTGCAGAACTTAAATGCGCTGCAAATCACATATATCCTCGTTCAAGACTTCGTGTTCAGATAACAAAAAAACTAAACACAGAAAATGCCGCTTGATCTACGAACGCAGTTGGGAAGTCACAGAACGTTATCACTCGCGAACCGTGGGACGCTGCAGCTGCAGCTGCAGCCCAGCTCTCATACGAGGAGTCATGAGCTTCGCCTTGTGTATAAGTTAGGAGATCTGTAGCCGACAGACGAGGTGAGTCTAGCAGCACGAACTTGCCTCGAAATTCTGCATTGCGCAGGCAGGGCTAAGGCCATGGTTATGCAGGTCAAATATCCAAGATTCGTCTTCGCATAACCTCGGATTCAGAATAATAAAACTTGAATACGGATTTATTTGATTCGGGGATATATTTGAAATCATTATGGAGACATTGATTCTTTACGAATTCTAAACTTTGAAACCATCAAGCCGAGTCAACACGATGCAGTGCAGTAGAAGTATGGAGTATGGAATTCGTCGTCTGATGAGCTATCACGGCCTCTTCCGAATGTTCAGCAACATATGGCTGCAAGTGTTGCCTTTTATAACACTAAGTGATTTATCCTTAGTGTTATAATGCTCCTTGCTTACTAGATTGATTAGTGAGATCTGAATTCGACAGTTTTTTGAACAATGCAGTCGAGTCTTGATGATCCAGTAGTACGTTGTTATGGGATCCATATGCCGGTTAGCTGACTTGCTTTATCGGTCAAGTGCAAATGTACATGTGGCCATATGGTGTTTTGGTTTAAAACTGGGTGATATATTTCCTCAATTCGACATGGGTCATATGTTTCCTCAATTCGACAAACGACGCAGCAGGGGATCGATCACGCATCGATAACCATGGGTCTATGCAGGGATTGTTGCTTTTTACCTAGTGCTTAATTGGGAACTGGAGCTGGATGATTTGACTGCTCAGACGTGAGGATGTTTGAAATGTTAACAAACGTACCGGTATATTTCATTCCGTCCTTATGTTCGTGGTTGATGGCCTCCTACTCACCGTTTGAAAAATAGAGATCACATGCATGTTTGAAAATGAACTGTTATTATGTTGGGCTAAGAACTCTTTGCTGTCGGTAATATGTTAAGTTTTTGAGCTTCTCTCTTCGAGGGATTTCATCGTGGTCATCAGCTTTGCCGATCTACTTATTCAACATTCTCAAGGCTTTTCTGCTTCCCCATAAGTCTTCTTTAGTGGGGCGGAGGGGAAAGGTTGTGAACCATGCTTTTTCTTATGCCATTGGAAGACTCAGACACAATTATACATGAATAAACCACAATCCCATTTCATTTTTCTGGGAGGGTATTATCTGTGATATGGACATGAATTCATCTACGACTCTAGAGAGATCAAGGGCTGGGAGCTCAAGGATCTTTCACAACACCGAAGTGCAGTTATGTCTGGATCTTGACCCGAGATTGCGTCTCTCGACCTTCACGAGGGAGGGATAATGCCTCAAGCTTCTCCGATCATTCATTCCCTCGATCTCGTGATGCGATTCATCGTATTCATTCTGAACGACTGAAGCCGGAAGTCTCAGAGGCGGAGGACAAAGACGAGAGCCCGACGGTTTCAGTGGAAAAGCTATTTGGAGCTCTTGCCCAATTTTGACTCCCAATACGATACGGGATACGCCACAGAAAACTGGCCTCTATGAAACAACTATCAGCGTCTCGATGTGCGTTGCTGTCACGTGAGATATGCACGGAAGCAAGACATTGTCAATATCAACCTCTCTAACAGTCCATCACGATACTTACAGATGGTGAGCTGCTGCTGAAGTCTTCGTCGATCATCTCTAGAAGAGGCACAAAATTAACTGTGGAAAATGTGCAGCTATGGAGAAGCTGGAAGATGCTCCCGTTGCCCCCGGTTGAAGTGATCATGCAGAGTGAGATCTAGATCACGCGCATATCATGCCGGGAGAGCAGCCTCGACCCTTGATGACCAATATATACTCTTCAGTGCTGCCTGCCTGCCTGCCTCTCTCTCGTACCGGTCACAGATCTACCACTGCACCTCTACATTTCTCTTATTCACCAAAAATATGAAGATTAGGTCCTTCATCATCTTCTAGATTCCTTCTCCCTTCTGCTCTCTGAAGGAAGTGAGTGACCTCGCGAAATTAGAGAAGCCGGTCTTGAACAGTCAACATCACCGTCGACAGATTCATCCAGCTTCCTGAAGATCAAACTTGTATCCTTCCGAGGTTGTTGAGGGGACGTCGGTACGAAAGAAGGTTATTGTAGATTGAGCTCAGTGAACAGACAAGAAATGCTACTGGCGTTGGAGTGACATATTTTTTAATTCCTCACGGCTGCTGCGACCATCATTCCAACCGGGTCTGTCAAACATAGCCTCACGAGTGCAATTCAAAGCACAGATCTCAATTTTGGAGGTCTTCTGCTCTCGTTATCAAGAATCCGACACTGACTACAGTTGTGCTTCCTCTTGCTGCTGTCGTCGTGCTAGCAGTGCATACTTCAGGTGTGAATACAGAATGTGTCGGTGTGTGTATGTGACAAGCCTTTCTCTGTACGCAGGCTACTTGAAGGACAGATTGCAGTTTCTCCACAATTGTGAAGGAGGTGCTTTTCGAGATGTCTGGAGCCTTCACTGACTTACGACATCTTCAAGCGCGAATTCGAAACTTAATAGAGTGAGTACAACCGAATGTCTCTCCTGGGGATACGAGACACTCAGCAGTGACTGCGACCGCAAACCTGCCCGCTGTCGAGCAGGCAGATTGTTCCATCAAAGAGGAAGCTATTTGCTTAAACTCTTGGGCTGGAGCTACATGGCCCAAGCACGTGTTACTTACCCTAAATTGACAGTTTCGCGATTGTATTCTTCTTTATTCATATAATATGATAATTTTTCAGGATGCGTCCTGAGCTCAGCGTTCGAGCTGTGGCCAAACTCACCGAAATCGCCGAGGAGCTGGAAGAATCGAGTCGCGTCGAGACCACTTCAGCATCGATCCGTTCGTCAGATTTTGACAGAATCACAGATGGCTTCAAATCGTTCAAAAGAAGGACGTACTTGTGAGTGAATGCGCAGTTGACCTTCCTCCGTTCAGCTTCACGTGCAAAAACTGGTTTGCCTCGTCCTGGTCTTGAGCTTCATAAGCAATGGTCATGATTTGCTTCGCTTTGGTTCCAAAACATCACTTACGCAATCTGTACCCGATATTGGCTATTCTCTGTCGGATTCCTCCCAAAGGAATCTCGGTCCGACTCGCCAGTCTCACAGTCGCTCTGACGTTATTGCAAACGCTTGGTTTTGTTCGCTAGAAAGAATCCGGAACTCATGAACCAGCTCAGAACCGGACAATGGCCCAAGGTGCAAGCTTTCCTCTCTTTTCCTCCCCTTCCCTTCCCTTTCATCTCGTTTCGTTGTCTTTCTCTTGTCTGTCGGATCGAGAGTTGTCTCACTGGTGCTGCTGCTGCTGACATGTGCAGTTCATGATCGTGGCCTGTGCGGATTCGAGAGTGTGTCCGACAACGATTCTGGGTCTTCAGCCGGGAGACGCCTTCGTGATCCGAAATGTAGCGAATCTGGTTCCTCCGTTCGAGAAGGTGTGCATTTATTGTCTGACTGCTGGCTAATTCGAGTCGAGGTCTCTGGTCTCTGGAGCTGGAGCTGGTCTCTCGAGGCCTCCGTCTCTTTTGGCCTGGCCTGGCCTGGATCCAGATAGTCGACGGTGTGGGTTGGAGCTGAATTCCTCGTCTTGCACAATGCAGGCAGGGAACCCGAGCGTCGGCTCTGCTGTGGAGTACGCCGTCCTGCATCTGAAGGTAGATAGATCTCTTCGTCTGTGTCACTCCACCGCATGCGCTCCTTGATTTTTGCCTGATGTCATCAGGACGGCAAGAATGCTGATCATGCCCGGCCTAGGCCTGATGCTGCGGGTCTTGTATTTTGTTCAGGTCAGCCATATTCTTGTGATTGGACACCGAGCGTGTGGTGGAATCGGAGCTCTTGTGAAAATGACCCCGGACGACGGCAAGTACTCGACGTAAGTAGTAGCATTAGAATGAATGGATGAGCTTCCTTCCTTCTCTGGTTCAGTTAGTCGACGTCCGCCCTTGTCACCTCGTCGTCGGTCAGATGACAGATGACAGATGCAAGAAACTAAAAGTGGGCGCGATTCCGCTCATACTTTACAGACAATTCATCGAGAGGTGGATGGAGATCGGAAAGCCGGCGCGTGAAAGCATCCACATTAAGCAGCTCAGAGGCAAAAACGAGAAAGTCGACGACATCTGCAAAACTTGCGAAAAGGTTGTTCCATCTTGAAATCTCTTGACGTACCGGAGAAGTGCATGACATTGTTTTAAGGAGGTGCAGCAGCAGCAGCGGCAGCTCGTCTAGTCCACGAGCTCCGTCTGAGCGGTTGCGTTGTCAAGTCTCTTCCAGTCCTGAACACACATTGGCTCGCTCACTCTCTCGTGGGTTGGTTTCTGTCTCTCAGGAATCCGTGAACAACTCTCTAGCGAACTTGCTGACTTATCCTTTTCTGGTAGACGCCGTCATGTCGGATCGTATCAGCCTCCATGGAGGCTACTACGATCACATCGCCGGAACGTTTCAAAAGTGGGACTACGATGTTGTCGAGTTTTAGGACACCGAGTCCGAGGGCTTCGCGTCATCGCATGCATCATCATAATCCGTCTGTCGCTCAACCAGTCAACAAATATAGTAGCCAATTGTCTTATTCGGATGGCGAAGGTGGAAACTTGCCAGGGATCGGGGCATGATCGCTCTCGCTGTATAAACCTGCGATCATCTGCGATCTGTATAAGCCTTACGTATGCGAGGCATTAGGCACGAGGAGTTTATCAGAGAAAGCTTCATCATGGGGCCGGGGGCTGGAAGGACAATAAGTAGTTTGGATCCCGATAACCGCATGCCTAGGGATTCGCTCTTGCAAGGCAGGCAGGCAGGCTCCGATTGAGGAGCTTTCATGTGCAGTACAGATTCAGAAGTGTATTGGACAGATAATTACGGATCAAAGCGGAGGACGAGGTCTGATCACGAGCCTTTGAATGAATGAATGTACTGACGGGTACCACAAGCTCATCAGACAGGCAAGGCAATACGAGCTCATGATTCCTCTCTCCTGGTCCGAACAACCACCGAGACATATCATGTCTTCCATGTCGATGACATATTCGAGCGAGTCAAATGATCATGAGGACGACATGTTCGGTTCTTGCGCTCTGGCTGCCTGCCTCATGATTCTCATAGCGTGTATGTCTGTGCATGATGAGATTTCGGCCATGAATTGGAAGATCTACGCATATCACGTCTTGTGGGTGCTGTACTGACTGTACCTTCCTGTCTCTTCGTCGATCATTGATTCATTCACCCACCCACTCTCTCACTCATGTTCGCCATGGAACCCTCGAGTGCGCGAACCCACTGGCAGGGAGGGCTCTGAATCTGAGCTCTGCTCGTCCATCTGGCCGGACAGACAACTTGCTGCATTACTGCCTCGTATGCAAAACAAAATCCGTGCCCATCCTGCTGACTCAGAGACTGCGGCCGAGAACTCAGAGCGCCCTAAGACCAAGCCAAGGGGCTACGAAAGATTTGGACGTGGACTTGGCTTGCATTCGTACCTCCCGTACTGCTCCCAGCACGAGGGTGCTACGTACGATGGAGGCCACTGCCGGAAATGGCATTCTTGCCTTACCTTGCATACGAGCTCGCGGCTCGTGCTTTGAGTTTCGTTAGAGAGAAGGACCTCGTTTCGACCTACGCGTAGATTAACGTGGCAGCTCTAGGGAGAGAGCAGTTCGAGCGAGAAGATTGGTCGCCCGAAATTTCCCGAGCAGACGGGGACGGAGGTGGCGAGGACTCGCTACGGGCTTAGATCAATCATTAGCTATGAGATCCACGAAAGAAATGTTGGTCATCAAGCGGCTCGGACGCAGCAGCTTTGCAGCTATCTAGAACCTCGTGTCGCTGATTTGATTACGCCACTGCAGCACACATAACGCCCATACTAGACGATCGAGTCTAGCTATAGCATGCATTGAGCAGCAGCAGCTGCAGCCCTCCTCTAGGGCCGCCTCCCTCCCTCCCAAAAGCGCACTTCCATCATCGAGCATCCCTCGGCAATTGGTCACCTACTGCTCGAGGCTCGTGACGCATCATCAATCATCGTCCACGGACCCAATTGCCAGATCCCTCTAGGTGCCGATCTCGACGAAAGCTTCCAAAGCTCGACTCTAAGCTCACCACTCTAAACTCACCACAGACTCTCTCTCTCTCTCTCTGAGTATTTGTCGAAGAGGAGGCACCATCGTGATAACGGGAGGGGGGAAAGTGGAGGGCGGGCGGGGGAAAGGGGAGGGGGTGTTGTGGGGGGGAGGGACTAGAGGTGAGGAAGATTCTGGAACGCGAGGGGGGGCGGGGGGCGGGGGCATGATGACGCTGGAGGGCCTGCAGGAGCGAGGGGGGGTGGGGGGGACGAGTGGCGCAGCGCGCGACAGGTGCGAAAAGGAGTGGATTGCAGACAAAGCATGTGCACGAGGTGCCGCGCTTTGGAATAACATGATCTCGCAAGGAGGGCGACGAATTTCGAGGGGGATAAAACTATTGTCGTCCCCAGCTTTTTGTGTTTTGCGGATCGAGAAAACTTTGCCAATCCGTGGATGTCGTTGGACATGGCCATGGGCCGCTGCCTCTGCTGCCGCTCATGTCTACAGATCCCATAGATCCATCTGCCTCCGCGCTTCTGCAGCACATTGCCCGCAAACATCTGCCAAAAGCCTGCTCCCTCTCAAGTACACGCAGCTGCCGTTGCCCTCTTCTCTTCCTGCTCCCCTCGCAATGTCGGCCCTCGTTTGCCCAAACTCACCTTCCTTCCCTCGAGTGCCTGAATTCCGGAGACCGTCCCCACCCGCCCTCTGCCTGCTGCTGCATTGCTGTCGAGGCCGAAGTGCCCTGGGCATGCACACCCTTCCGGAATATCGATGCCCCTGCCCCAGCCCCCGCGCACTCATCTCGTGATCCAACCTCCAACCGTACCTCAGCTTCTGCACTCCCCCCTCGCTTGCTTCCGAGCCAGGCAAGGCAAGGCAAGGCGGAGGAAATCCAAAGGACCGAGTCAGGTTTCGGATGGGCAGGAATGCAGGACCCGGGCGGGGCCATACTGCGGAGCTGTGCGAGGCCTGCGTGTTCTGTTCTATTGTATTCTGTTCTGTCGAGGCTGACAGGCAAATGTTGTAGATGAGATGAGATGAGCCAAATAGCTGAGGCCTCCGGGTGCTGGGGCCGGCTCGAGTCAAACGGAACATGTGGATCGGTAAACCTCCCTCCGCTTCTCGTTTGCGAGTGCGTGAATAGTTTTGAGATGACTGGTCTGGTTCTAAGGTCGGGTCCCGTCTCGTGGGTTGAACCATCTCGACTGCTCTGGTGAGCAGTCATAGTCATGCTTCCATGTTGACTCTTGACGACTAGCTGCTACTTCTACTACTACTACTACTACTACCTCTACTACTGACTGGCTTGAGCCTGCCTCGATTGAGTCGCACGGCACCCACATCGACTTCGAAATCCCCTTTGCTGCCGATCGGTTGAAAAGTGACACTTTTCCACCCGTGGCCAGAGACTGAGTGCTGGGCCTGTGCAATTCTGAAAACAGAATAGAATCGAGTCCACTGCAAGCTAGCTAGTGCGTGCGTGAGTGAGTGCTGGTGAAGCTCATGTTGGAAGCTAGATGATTGTTTAATGGGGGCTGTGTTGCCTTCCTGCGAGCACCAGCTAGCAAGGCTAATTCACGTATGCATATGCTCATCTCATGCTCATCTGAGCTGAGCTGAGCTGAGCTCGGATCGGATCGATGTGATCTTCCTAGCATCCTTCCGAGCTCGAGCGGTGGGAGTTACGATAATCGTGCTGCACGTCGTTTGATACAACTTAGTTGCTGCTGCTGCTGATCATGCCTGTTAGATGAACCAACTTCGCACATTGGTAGAGCCCTCAAAGTACAGTCAGTTATGTCATCAGAATAAAGTGGCAGTAGAGCAGCAGCAGCAACATGACGTTGTATTTTCCCAAGACACGGGTAGAGCTTTTTTCTTCGACAGCAGTTGTCGGGTCTTGCAAACCCATTGTATGAGCTTTGCTGCCAGTGTTTTATTTCCCGGGAGTCCCTTCGCCTGCACAGATCTAAGAATCGTGATCAAATGATCTCCTCTTCTCTTCTAATACGATGTGGCACATTGCAATGTGCCACATCATATTATTAGTATTCAACAACTTTTTCGCTGTCTTGCGAATCCATCTTTTCCTTCCCCCTTCCTCCCACCTCGAACCTTCCTTCATAATTTATTCACCACTTAAAGTATTTGAAGTATACTAGACGTCTGAACTCATTGTCACCGCGAGTAGACTGTGACCAGTGTTCAACGAGATAACTTCCGTTCGCTCAGCATTTCAGATTCTGGAGCGCAGTGAAGTGGATACTTGACAGGGGCATAGCTCGATGCTGTGTTGTGGATGCACAGTTCGGAATAGTTGCCTTCTGTCGTGATCTGTGTCAAACTACACTCGGCCTCGTCCAAGTGCAATGCGCTTTGAGATGCTGACAGTTGCCATCCGTGTGGTCCAATAGGCCACAAACTACAAACACCATTCTTGCACACCTCAGCAACAACGAACTTGGCGCTGGCAACTATGCCAAACGTGTTGACATCCGGATGCCATTGTCATTACAGGCGCAATTAGCAAAAAGATTCAAAGACACAAAGATACAAAGACGTCCAGCCCAAAACGTCAGGCATGTGTCTACTAATTGTCCGTATGGTGGAACAATGTGAGTGACATGAATCGTGCGCAATTTCTACAGATCAGTCTCAAAGTGGAACTTCAGTTCAGGCTGACCGTGAATCATCCGTCCAACGCTGCATTGTTCAATTCCATGGAATTTGGATACTCGGGAGTGGTGCAATCGTGGTCGACCGTGGTAGATCAATTCTGGAAAATATACGTGGTTGCGGCGGTGGTCGGGTGACCCTTCATCGGTCACATCAATTCAATGATAACCGAGATATTTTCTGGTGAAGTCGGACGGGTGCAGTTTGACAGACATGATTACGGCCGTTGGAAAACTCCAACATCATGTAATAAAAAAATGCTTCTCTCCTGCAGAATCTTGTGTAAAGCGAACGCTTTTTGCTGTCATATCTCTGATGATCCGACAACAGACATACCTTCATTAAGAGACTACTGTATACAAATGCTTTAGTGTGTACACGACCTGCTGCACACATGATCTTTTTCAGATCCACTCTTAAATCATCGACCCGTTTCGGCATGCAGTAGTTTCATCCTCCGCAAGGTTTCGGTACAGCAGACAACGTCCACCACTTTTCCAGTGCACATTATGGAAGGAAGCTCAGTTCGGTTCAGTTCAGTTGAGCGCAAAAGCGGTATGCGTTTCTCCCATGTAGATAGATATATAGATAGATAGATAAATTATAATGCTGCTGAGGATTCGCCCCCACAAACACTACATTACTCACTGCGACTACGACATATGCCTCTGGCAGTCCAGTCCAGTCCAGACCAGTCCACTACCTTCTCTCCATCAAACACCTACAGCTCGGCCACCTGCTTGTACTGCCATCTACCAACCTCGAGCCGAGCTGAGCTGAGCTGAGCCGAGCTGAGCTGAAAGATATATAAGTTAGCGCCAGAATCCACTACTGGGAATCATGGTCGCCGGATGCCATGTACGGACTCGGCCTTTAATCGCCGCTGTCTGTCTGCCTTGGAGCATTTCCAGTCATTTCCTATCGGCCCCCACCGCACCGCAGCTTCTGTCCTGTACAGTTGGGAAATCACAACCTCCTTTCAGAAACTGACTGACGCCATTCCAGCGTGCGCTGTTGAATTTTCAGATCAGCACGAGGATGAACGGGTCGTCGAATATTATCGGCACCGTGACATCGAGTTGAACATGAGCAGACACGTATGACAGACAGAAATCGAGGACACAGTGCGATGATGGTGAAACTTACTACCTCTCCCTCGTTGGCAAAGAGTAGACGCTGTTGGAGTGATCTCGGGCGTAATCATTCGCAGCTCCGCTTTGTGGAAAAAGCGAGATTTCATCATAATCCTCGCCTCGTCGGCATATTCGGAAACCTCATCGGCTGCGGAATGATGTCAAGCCCAGGCAGAGCGTTGACGCCGAGACCACCTGTCCAAAAGCTGCAGCATTTGCGCAATCCAACCGGCACCGATCCACCTCAATTAAAGTCAAGCTGTCCCCAGATTTTCTAGCTCGTGGTGGTCAGACGAGGTGACCGGACGACGACCAAACCTGGTCTTCCGGGAGAGCGAGCAGGCACGCACACACTCACTCACTCACTCACTAGCATTGCATGAAAGTTCTAAACATGCACTCATCGCGCCCAGAGGCACAAGCCAAGCGAATTCAAGCAGTGCTAGGTTTCGCATCACGCCAAGAGCCTGGGGTTTGCAGCTGATAACACCGACATTTCGAGATTGAGATACCGTGTGTGCACTGGTCCAGGGACGCGTCTGCATTTTTGTGTCTTCAGACGTGCTCGCTGAAACTGGTGGAAGGAAGAGCATGCAGATATCGCCCCTCCTCCATGCCTGCCTGCCTGCCTACGAAATGATGCTCCAAACCGGTCGCTGGACGGCCACGCCCAGAATCAATGTTCGAGGACAACCCTGCGAAACATCATGCTGCACCGATCGATCTGCGGGACGATGTGATGTGCCTCGAAAGATATGCTCCCACATTTCCTTTCTCTCTTGGAGTTGGATGGGATGGTAGTCATCGGCACAAAGAAGGGGCTGGAGAAACTTGCTTTCATTTAACAGGTGATTGTGTGGGTGGATGGATGGATGCATTCAAGTCGACAAGAATTGAACGAGAGTCTAGTGACTGCGTGCGTGCGAGAGTGCGTGCGTGGATGAGGGAGGAACGCAGAAGAACAATCGGGAGAGGAATCACATTTCTACGAGTCGAGACGAGACGAAGCCTGAGAGGGAGCTCCCTTCAGTCCAAGGACGGATTGTACAGATCGAAAGCAGCTCCTGCCTCAATCACACGCCCAATCAATCCTTTTCTCGTAGGATTGAACGGGCGAATGAATGATTCAGCAGCAGATATGGACCCAAACAGCCCACTGTTGAACTGAAGGGAGTTCCATCCGAACTTCTTTCTACACTCCCACCACTTCTTCCTTCACACGACCCCCGCACCAGAAAATAAAAAATGTAAATCCAAACCCGTGCGCGAACGAAAGAGTCGACCCGACACGACACGGGATGCTGAAAACAGTTCAGGGATCGCATTCTCGACTGAACGAGCGATGGATGCATTGAAGCCAAACCGCCGACTCAGACGATCACCTACCTCCGCCGGGGAATTTGAAAGTGGCTAACGGCAGCGAAGGGTGGCATCGACGCGGAATTCGACACGGGCGGCGCAACCGCAAGGTCCCCCGCTGCTGCTGCAACTGATGAGATGATGGTGGCGTGGCCTGCTGCCTCTGATGCTGCTGCTGCCGCCGCTCGACTCGACAGAAGACAAATCATCCGTGTCTCGACAGACTCTTCAGAAATCCACTGCAAGCTTATGAAGAGGAACACGAAGACGACGCGCTTGTATCTGAGGTGAGCCACAGAGGGAGAGAGAGATGACAGATAGATAGAGGAGAGAGTCGAGAGAGAAAGAGAGAGAGTCGAGAGAGAGAGAGAGTGTGAGAGATAGATAGAGGAGAGAGAGAGAGAGAGAGATGATAGATGATAGATAGAGGAGAGAGTCGAGCCAATACCACGTGCAAGGCGGAACAAGCGCTTCGAAATATGCGGAAGAGTCACGCACACTAAAAGATGACCGAGAACCAACGGGAGGTTGCTTTACCCGCCATCGGCCTTTCGTGCGGCCGCGCAAGGCACGAGTCCTCATTCCGACTCGACTGCCGACTGCGACAGAGGGGGATGGGATGGAGGGAAGGGAGGGAGGGAGGGAGTGAGTGAGCGAGCGAGGGAGCGAGAGACTGATACTGAAGGAAAGAGGAAAGCCGCCTGGCTCTATTACGGAACGCTCTCCCGACTACTGACTGACTATTCCTGGACCTGAGGGTTGAGGTGCTGTTAAGAATGAGAGAAGTGGATAGATACATAGACACCCAAATAAATATCGCTCTCACATGTCTCCATCCGTTCCCCCCTCCCCTTGCCTTGCCTTGCCTTCCCTTCCCTTGCCTTGCAGAGGGCCAATATCGTACAGGAGTAAGATAAGTAGGGTCGCTGCGCAGACAGCCAGCCAGCACAGTACACTGCTCTACGCTCTGGAGACTACGCTCGACCACCAAGCCCCTGCCCCTGCCCCGGCCAGCCAGCCAGCTCCGCTAGCTAGCTAGCAAGCTAGCGCAAAGCGGCCGAACGAGAGCATCGTCCCGTCCATGTCTTACAGCGCATGGCCCGATTCCTTGCCTTCTCGGCTTCGCATCGGGAAGACAAGCGCAGCCTCCGTCGGCTTCGCCCTCCCCCTCCCACTCCCACTCCCGTTTCGTCCCCGTCGCTCGGCCCCTCCCGTCCCTGCAGAAGGGATGGGGAGGGGAGGGGGGGCCAGGGAAACCAGCGGCAGGAGGGCGGCGGGGAGGCGGGACCATCGCATGCAGCAATGCAGCCTGAGGAGAGCAGAACACTCATCACTCACCAGCGACCGGCAGCAGAAGCAGCAGCACCAGCTGCAAACAGGTATCAGGCTCTCAGGCTCTCAGGCTCTCAGGCCAAGCCTTGTGCAGAGACGAGAAGAGGGAAGCAAGCAGGAGAGGTCCCCAACTTCGCCAATCCCTCGCTCTGCACCTCTGTCCATCTCCAATCCTTCTCATTCGCTCCACAGCCAGCAGCAGCCCCCGGCCCAGCCAGCGTGCAGACTTTTGTATTTTCCTACACTGTACTGGGTCTACGAGATTTTCCTCTCTTCTATTGCTAGGACTACTGAATCCTGCCTGATGAGCCTGAGTCTTCAGAGTCTTGTTCATCATCCGCTTCTGCCACAGCTGCTACAGCTACACTACACTACGTTTCGAGGCGACACGCGAGGGTGAGAGGGGTGGGGGGAGGGCTGAACATTCCCCGGGGATTGGCGATAAAGCCAAATCGCTGCTGGCTCTGCTATCAGCAGCGGCAGCAGCAGCAGCAGTCATTGATGAGAGAGAGGTAAGCGAGAGGCAAGGTTAAATACCCGTCCGTCCGTCCTCCCTCGAGAGCCGGGGGCCACCACCAGCAGGATTTTACAGCGCGTTGTGACTTGGTAATTTCCTCCTCTTTGCATGCCATGTGATCGACGTTGCTGTCGAATCTCCCTGAAAACGATGAAATATCTCTTTTGACTGCCAAGCGTTGCCCATGTACTTCCTCCTCCTCCTCGTCCTCCCCCTCCCCAACCCACCTCTCCCTCTCCCTCTCACCTCTTACCATTCACCTTTCCTTCCTCCCTTCCTTCCCGTCTGCCATTCCCTTTGCTTCCAATGCCCGGCCCCAATAAAAAATCTGTTCCATTGGATTAAGGGCCCGGCCCGAATGAACCCGGGCCGACTGGTAGTCCACCCCATGGGCTCGCCTGGTACAACAAATCGGCCCCTCTCTCGGTCCGTCCCTCTGAGTCGGTGCAAATGATGGGATCTCTGGGATCTCGCTCGGCCCATCTCCTATCTCTGCTTAATTCCCAGTCACGTTTTCAATCAAACTCGGGCTCACTCATTACCACTGGCGCCCGTCTGCCATTCTCTCTCTTTCCCTTCTTCATGTCTGGATCGCAACTTCTTCTTTCTTCTGCTGTCTCTCGTCTGAGACTCTCTGCGAGCCTGCGCCTCAGAGTCTGAGTCTGTCGCCCGCTCTGTCTGCCTGTCGTGTCCTTCGCGCTGTACGTGGACGTGACGAGACTCACGAGCCCGACCCCACCACGCGCACCGCCCCGCCGCGACGAGGATGTCGCGTCGCAGCCACCCGGCCGAGAGCCGGACCTGCGGCATTACCTGCCGCAAAGCTACGCGGGTAGGTCTCGTGGCGAGACATTCCAGCCGAGGTCGAGCGAGAGCCGCAACTCCATAGACCGGATCATTCCCGATGTGGGACATCACCGCAACGTGGCGCGCCCGGGTTGGCCGGGCGCGGGGCGGATAATCACACCCGCCGACGACCGACCTGCATGCGTCTGGGGACCTGCGGTATATAGGGGCAGAGAAGCAAGGGACGGGAGAGAGCGCCACATTTAGCGCGGCGGGACCAGCGCGACTGGCGTGAACTAGTCCACGTCCGTCTGGAACATGCTAAGTATAGAACCCTCGCCTTCTTAGCTGCTAACGGTAACGATAAGTGTAATCAGCCCTCAGCACTCAGCGCCCTCGGCGCTGCCCAGCGCACGCAGCGAAGCGGGAATGGCGCACCTGGTTCTCGTCTCCGCAGGTCCAATGTACTCGCCGCGCCTCGTAGTTCCCCATCGCCCTCCACCACGGACCTGACCGGACCCGACCTGACCTGACCTGGTCTGGTCCGGTCTACTCCAGTAGACGAGACTCGGGTAGACCCGACGACAAAAGACAGGGCCGTGTGTGTGAGCGACATCGCTTTCGTCTGGGGTCGTCGTTCATACCCTTTCTCTGGCGGGGGGTTCGATTTCGGAATATTCTCTCGATCAGGATATGTTTGGCCTGAGCTTTGATTTCTGTTCATCGTCTCTCTCGCTTTCTGCCGTAAGTGCGCGGTTCCACGGTCTGAGAAATGCTCTCCTCTTGTCTGCAACTGCCACAGCCGCACACCCGGTTTGAGGCCGCGCCGTATTCCTCGCGGAAACACGTCATGCACCGGGCGTGCTGATTCAGCCGGTGCCCACGTCTGGCCCCAGGTCGCACCCTGCGCGCCCGTTAGCCCCGAAGATGCCGGAGGACAACCATCCGACAGCCCGCCCGGTTTCTCCACCGTCGAGCGGCTCGACGGTGCGGGCACTGTACTGGAAACATAATTCTCCTCGACGTCGGCGTTCGCCCTCCGAACCATCGAGGAAGATCTGAAGTATCGTTGATCTGTAAAGGTCTCTGGCTCCAAGTCCCCGCTCGAGTCCAATGCCAAGGGCCAGTGGAAATCGACAAAGTGCTATCCGTCCCAGTGACGAAGATGTGGAATATAGCGAACTCCACTGCTGAACTACATTAGACCTGACCGGCCCAACAACTGCGGTACGCATACGAGAATCGTAATCCGGGCCACCCTATGTCAGTCCAGCAATAGCATTGGTGGGTGCTGTACAACGGAGGTACTTGGGAGCAGCTGCTCCCTCGAGACGTCCCTCTTCTGAATACCCACTCGTACGTGAGTAACATGACTCCTTCGTCGCCGAAGAGCGCCCTTCTCCGCACTGAAATCGTCTGACGCGCCGTCACTCTTGGTAATATAAGATATCAGTACATCGTATAGGAGGTAGAAATTTCCCTTTCTCTATATTTCTCCATTTCTCGACCAATCCGAGCTCACACTTCGTGCTTTTCCTCGCATGCGTGCTTCGAGTAGGAAACCGATTCCAGCAGTCGCATCAGGCACGCAATCATACTCTGAGGTTTCAAAATACTGCACCGTAATGAATTCGTAGTCAGGCTCAAACAGGTGGAGTCAGTAGGAACCTTGCAAGTACAGTCATTAATACTGATCATTATCGCGCGTATGTCCACACGAGAGGTGATACTATACCTGGAAGTGATGGAAACCGGAAGGATGATGAGTTTCCGGTCGCTAAGCGAACGGACGACGTCGGAGATACACCCCTGTACATACTCGCTGACAGATACTGTCCAGGGTACGCTGTACTGCAGTAGAGCCTAACGGGGGCGGATGGCCCCCACTGCATGTCTCACAGTCAGTCGAAGAATTCCCGAATTTCACTAAATGCAAATTCTCTCCTGTACTATATACATCGTGGGCCGGAGAGACAACTGTAGACGACGAGGAAACCGTACGTATTTGCAGCAGTAGAAAATCCTCGAGAATTTTCTACTGGTTTTCATTCGTTCAGGGATTCCAACGTAGCGCAAGCCGACGGTAGAGAGTACGTAGGGAGGACTCGAATTCCCAGAAGCGGAGGCCGTCGAGGTGTGAGGTATGGCATGGTATGTATGGTATGGTATGGTATGGCCTCCTCATACCGTTGGTG